GTTAATGCCATCTCTACTAAAACGGAAAATTCTAATGATGTATCTTCAGAGGTGATCTCTCGAAGTGAAAATGCTCCGGTATCTGATATACCTAAAAACATTTCAAACTCTGATGTATCTGGTAATGCCTCAAATTCTGATGTCCATCAGGAGTCTTCATCTCAACTGGAGGTTGGTTCACACAAATATTCTGCACCGCTTATTTGCACAGAGATTAAATCATCAGAAGACAAGGAAATAGATGAATTCCTGGGTTCAACATATAAGGAACAGGTTAGTAATAAGATAATCCAGAGCATTAAGGAAAAGAAACTTCTAGATCAAGGATTACTCTCAACTCCTAATAATAATACTCCTAATATTTTGCGTGAGCAAAGTTTAATACAAAAAAAATGCCAAGAAATTTTCGTTACTAAAAATCACGAAAAATCTTCTGATCAAATTTCCGATATGTCTAGTAATAAAATCTCAGAACAAAATATCGAACTTATCGATTCCCCTGATAAACCATTAACAAATCTAATTGTAGAACAAGAATTACAGCAACAGATTGCCATGTCGACTGGAGGTAATAATTCAGCTATGGTAGTTGAAAACTCAATGCAAGATATTGACATTTCTATCAATGATTTGTCTCCAGTTTTAGCGCAGACCATAGTATGCATATTTCGAAAAGCGATTCGTTCTGGTCAAGATACAATTTTATATTGGTATCACTTTGCTGGAAAATATGATAGAAGAATAGATGAAGTTTCTGTTAGTAACAAAGTCGGTAAGAAAAAAGCAACCAGCTTAGTGTATTATGAAATTAAACAGCTTCTACCAGACATAACAGATGTTAATTTACGACATAAAATTCTCAAATCTAGAAAAATTAGAACGCTTTTCAGTGTGGTAGGAATAGAAAAAATTAGACAAGTTTCATATAGCGCAAATGCAATTTCTAGCCTCAGTTATACACAAATCCAAAATATTATAAATTATGTTAACAAATGGACTTTTGACTCAAATATTTCACTAACCAAGAAAACCTTGGAGGAAGATATTATAACTGAGGATGGCAAACAATCGCTGAAAACTGAGGTGGGTATATCCATCAAATCTCACGTTTCCCCAAAAAACTACCCTGAAATCAAAGTGAGTGCATCATTTAATCCAACTTGTGATCATGCTTATTTTCGTAATAAAATATTGGGTCGATATCCTAATATATATAGAGAATTTAGTAGTGAAAAATTCGATTATTATGGAATTATTGATAAATCATTATGTCCAGCATACAAGTCGAGTCATAGAGATAAGAAAAGTATAAGAGGTAAATATGAAGCTAGATCTTATTTTATTAAATGTGGACAACAAGAAATTGAAATAACTGCATAAATAAATAATTACATAAATCTGGTCAAATGGATAGTGATATTTTTTTCTTTGCAAAGCAGGACACTCTGTGTCTGGCAGTTAGGTGATTTTGAATTGAGTTGCATTAATATAAAACAATAACATGTCTTCTGATACTACCTCTAGCAAGATATTAACTGATGACTATTGCAAATGGCATGCTAATTTAGTTGATTTACCAAGTTCTCAGACAGATAAAATTCATTCTAGATTATATAAAGCATATATGGAAGAGACTGGACTCGATCCTTGGATAAAGTCTGAAACTTCTGAATTCCCACAAAGTGAAAATGCTGATAATCGTATCATAGAAGACAGCTCGTTGGAAACTCAGATAATGGCGTCAAACAAAAATCACCTTTATCAGTATGCCATCGAACATGGAATAAATCCCAAAGAATTTTCGATTATTACAGGGGTTGAGAAAAATAGATGGACCACGGGATGTTTTCATGGGGATTTGAAAAGAGATATACATTTCTATCGTGGTGAAATAGAAAGAAAAGAAGACCCTAGAAAATATCGTAAATTTTTAACAGATCGGGAGAGGCTAGTCGGTGAAGACTTATTACGTCACAGTATACTAAAAAGTGGTTTGAGTACTGCATGGCTCGATGATCTTATGGAAGAATAGGAAAAAATCCATACTCAATTCACACAGATATCTTTTGAGGAAAAGACTTTATTTGTACCGCGAGTAAATGTTCAGTCTACGCCATCAAAATCTTGATCACCAATTTCTGTTCTACCTAAAAACCCGGAAGAAAGGCAACAACACATTATTAAAATGGTATTAGAATGATTTCCTTATTTAACTTTGAAATATAGTTTTAAATATAGTAATTATTTTGATTTTAATAGATCTGTACTCTGTCCTATATGCAACAATGATCATAAAAAAGAGAATATAAGAAATTTTATAGAAGATGAGTGGGGAAGTGGCGAATATTGTGGTGAAAAAACTTATCGTCTCTATTGTTATAAAAATAAATATCAAAATTCAATCCAAATAGTAACCGTAAAAGCATAGATTAATAAGGTAATTAGGTATGGACTCTATTATTTCCACTAATTAATAATCGCAAATTACATTGCAAAAATTATGTAAAAATAAAAAATGGCGAGGCCATGGGACCCCCACTTTATTATTATAAAAAATAATATTGCCGAATCAATATACAAATAAAAAAATACATCACAGTTGCATACTGCAGACAAAAATATGAACTATTTATTAATTTTGATTTAGGCTTTCTTGTCGTTGTCCAGGATTCTCATACTTATTGGAATCATTTTCCTCACACCATTCTGAATATTCTTCAGAAAAATTATCCAAGAGTCTGCCTTCATTAACGTTATAGTCATCATCTTCTCTGGGGTCATAGGTCGAATTATCTAAATTAATATGATAAATTATATTTTTTTAGTTTTACTAAAAGTTACACTAACATACTTAATTGCCTTTAACTTTAGCAGAATTTTACTTGCCATATTGGTTTCTCCTACTTCTACATTGATGATTGGAATTAGATGTCCTTTGGCTAGGTCTTGGATTGGGGGGTGTTTGGGGGACATAATAGTTCTCGGAGGAGTTACTATTATTAGTCATGGAGGTGGTGGTGTTATTACTCATGGTAGTAGTGCTATCATTAGTCTTGGGAGTGGTGGTATTGTTGGTCTTGGAGGTAGTATTATCATTAGTCTTGGGGGTAGTGGTATTGTTGGTCTTGGAGGTGGTACTATCATTAGCACTCATTTTTTGTACCTGAATACGAAAAAAATCATGGTAAGTAAAAATTCGTTTTCATAGATTCCATTAAATGAAATAGCAAAATTACTTTAAAAATAAATTACGGGCAGGTAAATCAAGTAAAAATATATATGAGCAAAAAATAATGTTATTGCTGACTTATCTTATGGACAGGAACTTGCTTATTTTTATACCATCCATTCGCTAGATCTAGAGAACCTGCCAGAAGGAAAGTTACGTGATTAGTAATTGCGGTAGGGTAATGCAATCTAGATTCCACCATGTAAAGCAACTCCACTCGGTCATAAGTTCTGTATACTGAAGCTATTTTGTTATTTTTTCTGGTAAAATTAACCCCCCTTAGATTCAATGATCTCTTCTGCGAAGTAAAAAAGTCAACGATCTTGACGATCTGGGAATGCCAAGTTCCTGCGACATATGAATTTTGATAAAACTACTGATAAAGAATGTGCCCTTATAGTCTTTTTAAGTCCTGTTCTTATCGCGGGATCTTATATAATAAGAAAATGGTCTAGATATAATTCATAATATTAGTTATAAATCAAAAAATCGACCGTGAGAAATGATTCTGCAGGAGAGTGTCACAAAACCTTATATCTAATTTTGTGCGACTTGTTACTGTATCTTATTTCTGTACTTACGCTAATATTAATAAAAATTTTTCTACAATGACTCTTACTATATCGATATTACAGTATTAATGTTAAACTACTGTTAAGCCACTGTTGAAGTACTGTTCGAAATAAGCAAAATACTGTATCAAGATCTATTCTAAATTTGTATATACTGACAAATGTTTATTGAATTTCGAATATTCAGTTTAAAAAAACTGTGATCGAATTTTTGTGTACTTATGTCATACGTACAAAAATAAAACACATATATGCTCACAGATATCAATGTATTAGAAAAAGATATTATATAGCTTATCATTATTCATTCTAACACAAATTAATTTGTACATCTGATATCAGATTATATCATGCATAGTGAATTATTTAACTTATACTGTATACTGTATGTGAATCGGATTAAAAGTCAGAACAAAGTTTAAATGATATTTCATTTTTACATCAACGAAATTTAAATGCGGTGTTTCATTAGGGTGTAATCCTATGTTAGATAGGTATTAACGAAATTATAATTATTTTAATCTGACACAAATTTGAATAATTGGATAATTTTTCATGAAGCAAATTGAATTTTTTTGTTTATATTTCTTTTGAGTCATTTCTAGAAAGAATAGTTTAAGGTACCAATCAACATAGTAACATATATTTATTCATGTAATTTATCACCATGCGTAGTAAATTTCTTGCATATAATTTAAACCGTTCTTTTTATATGTTTTGGCGTTACAAGAGGATAGATATATCGATTATATATGATTTCTTGTGTACATGCCTTTCTGTTAAATACTCGGGAGAAATAAAAGATTTTTAGTAAATAAAATACTTGTTTTTATTCAAACAGATTCATAACATTGCAAATAAACCAAGTAAATAAATCGATAAAGCTACATTAAGCTTTTTTGTTCTTTGATCTTACTGTTAGAATTAGTTACTGTATAACATCCAAAAGCTATCATGCTTGGCAAAGTTATCATAATCCTGGTTACCTTCTTGCTTCAAGGTGCATTATCAGAAAACGCAGTAACCTTTCAAACACCAGATGTTCTCACAATCTCTTATATCAAGAATGATCCGAATTTTTATAAGTATTGTAAACAACAGTTAAAAAATTTGGTAGGAATATATGATGAAGGGATATCAAATGTTTCTTGTTAAGCATTAGGCTACTTGGCAAATGATGATCCACCCCGTTCTTTCTCAAATACGAAGGACAACGGTGGAGACTTTGATAAATAGGCCAGAAGTAAAGAGTATAGGGGATATATCCATATTCCAAGTTTTAGAGTTAGCTGTGATGCTAAAGGTTATATCAGTTCTGACCCTAAGGATCCTGATTATAGTGATCAACATAACCCAACACAAAATCCTGAGAAAGTTGTAAATACTAAACGTAATCCCTATAGATATACGAAAGAATATGCGCCGTATATTTATCTAGATTATTCATCAGCTGATATATATACTAATGACTCAATATTCAATGGAATTCGATGGTCTAAAATCAAAGATAATACTTGTTTAAGCATCTTCGATGCTAGAGCTAGTCGGTTATCCACAACAGCATGATATATGCAATATTTTTTGTTGAAATATGATACACTATTTATTTACGCTAAAGTATATATGACAGTTTGTTGTAATCGTCAGGTTTCTGTAACAGTCCATCGTACTGTTTTCCCTCAAACTTCCTTTTACATTAATGGCAAAAAGGTTAGTGAACAAGCACAGACTGAACTTGGCAAGTTTATTCTTTCCAGAGGTAAACCGGCTAAGGACTTCAAAATTGCCGAAGATGGAAATTGGATAATTAAGAATATAAAAACGTTATTTAAAAATTTTCAAAAAGATTTGGGTTTATTGTTATCAGCAGATGGACATGGTAACTTGGCTCCTTATGGACAGAACTTGACCTGGAATAGAAAAATCTAAACTAGTAACAGCATAATATAAATAGATCTATTTTATTATTACATTTCATGCACTTGATATATGTTAATGATAGCTTTATATTACAACATATAATTTGTATTTTTATCTTTATTTTTGCAAGCATTGTAGGTCAATAAATAATAAATTCTTACATACAGTCCATAGCATAAAAGTTTTTTTTCGTATTAATCTGCCTGACATTTGTTTTAGAATTGGGTTGCGTAATACTATATGAAAAAGTATCAACTAATATTATGCTATATATCATTTACTATATATTATTAAATGCACATACTGTACATTTAGCTCAAAACTTAGACTATTTCTTATTTTTATTTAGCACATGATTGCTATTTTAAGAACACGTATTCTTTTTGTGGATCGATCCCAAAAATTGCGATATTAGGTGTTCGATCAATACCGATTAATAAGTACTGGTATCCTGTATATGTACCAAATGCACCTCTCAACAAGAATCCCAAATATAGAAAACGTGCGATTGTTGATTGATTTGTCATGTTCAATAATTGTGGTGCCGAATTTAGTAAACAATTTAATTATTTGTTTACGTAGTAATTATCATGCCAAAATATCGGTATGACACCAAATAACAATTGGTAGTTGACTCGTGTTGAATTATCGCAATGCCGAGTCATTTATATTGCATACTGCTTTGTGGCAAATTGCCTTGCAAATGCAAGAAAATAAATTGCAATCTCTAATGAATAATAAATAGGGCCACCTTTAATATGAAGGTCCATTCCAATTTTGCTTTTTTCTTAAAAAAAGTTTTTATAAAAATTACTTACCTGCTGTATAAGCTCTATGTCGTCCCAAAATAAATCTGTCGCATTATTATCGAAGGCCTCTAAAAGAAATCTACGTAAAAAAGACCTTCGTGTTATAAAAAAAGCCAAATTTGAAAACCTTGATATTTCTGTCATTGGAGGTAATACTAATACATCCAATATTAACCTGGCCGATGAAAGAGAAGATATTTTCTATAATCCTCTAAAAGTAAATTAATTAATTTTGATACAAGTAAACCCCTATTATTTATAGTATAGTCTTCTTAAGGGTACTTTTCACCTTTCGAGGCAGGCCTAGGATCCGAGTATTCCCTCCCTAAGTTTTATTATTATTGTGCTTACTTTTTATTGAGGGTGTGATCGTCAAATCATGATTATCTTATTAGCGAGGAGAGGAAAACCGAACGAGCTTCCTGTTTAACGCTGAGCTATAAGATAAGAAATGATTCGAATGTATCCACCTCGAAATATTTTTATTTAACTTCATAATAAAACTTTATAAAGTATATCATCTCATGAGATATTTCTAAATATATATTCTTTAGCATAAAACCCAAGCAAAAACCCACCAGTCGACCAAAGATGAGGCTCGTGAATATATCCATACCCGATGGATATCTGAAGACTTTTTTTCTAGTGATATTAAATTGACTAAAATTTCACAGCCTTATACTTTGATAGATCCAAAATTTACTTTCGTTAAAAAGTTTTTAGAAAGAAGGCAACAAAGACTAATTACCCTTTCTTTGCTACCTCAAATAATTCAACCGACACCCATCGACTTTTCTGAAATACCGATACAATATATGACTCTGCTGGAGTCTGAGATCTTTAATGAGGGCTCTTCAAATTCGACACCTAAACAGTAGAAAGAGTTTGGGTTGTGGGCTAATTTTTCAAAGGTTCCTAATTTTAATAAGCGATTTCACCTTCACTGCCGTCACCTCTGGTCTAATATTATACATGCACACAAAGAAGCCCAGAAAAAAATACAGAGAGAATATAATATCTCAGAAACATTCAGCCGATCATCAAAAAATAAATTAGATAAGGCAAATGAGATCACAAAGAATCTAGCTATCGGTAATAAATTTGAAGGCTACTACCATGTCTTCAATCTACAATGCTTCAAGAATTCTTTCGGTGAAACCATAGTAGATTTTTTTGACCTACCCAATACAATGCTCATTGAAGATACAAGAATGGTAGTAAATCAATATTATAATCACAATATCAATAATAAAAAACATCAATCAAAGGAATTTAAGAAAGAATTAGTGAAGCATTTTGGAGCCTTCATAGGTAATAACAATGAGCCCTATACAACTGCAAACACAGCATCGAACCATTGCTTAAAACATCAGAAATGTGTTCGGGAGTTGATTAGCGGACTTCAACTACTATCTAATGAGGTTAATAGTTATTTTCAGGAAACTTATCCGGCTCTATATACAAAAATGGCAAAGCTCAATCTTGGGCCAAATGTTCCTAAGTCTTTCGGTGCTTTTCCAACAATCGTGATCAACTTCAATGTTATTAGTCAATTTTATCATGATTTAAAAGACCATCGAAATACACTTTGTGTGGTGTGTCCACTTGGATCATTTGAAGGCGGGCAGTTGGTATTTCCAGAGTTAAAGTTAATTATTTATGCAAAACAAGGCCAGGCCATTGCTTTTAGATCAAATATTTTGGTCCATGGCAATCTTCCTGTTATTTCTGATGTTCGTCACAGTGTCGTGTATTTCGTGCATAGCTCCTTCTTTCATCATTTGCGGGATTTCTCTTCTGTATATGATAACCTTAAAACCAGTGTAGAGAGAGATGCAAAAGGTAATGTTGTTTCTAGACCAATGCGGCATCAAAATCTTGAAGATGCTTACAAGTTGAACTGCCAGATACATCTTTTTAAACCGAAGGCAGAGCAGATACAAATCCCTCCACAACCTTCAGATCGTAGAAGAGGATGTATTGGTAAGAAAATACATACATAATATTAGATCTTAAATGTAAATAAAAATTAATTATAACGATTATTTCTAGATTTGTCACGTGCGAGACGTGGATTAAGAGCGGAAGACCCGTTACCTAATTCATAATAAAAGCGTATATATTATATATTTACGAATATATATATTTTTTATAGAAAAAAATTAATAAAGTTT